TTGACATTCGAAAAAAATTTTAAGTAGTGTTCATAGCAAGGTACATTGAACAGGTAGTATCAGTAGAGCATCTGATTTGATTTATTTTCAAATTATTTGGTCTCGAAAATGTCAAATATTTTTAATTTTTTCTCACGAAAATTATAAGTTGTTAAAATCCATTTGCTTGTGAAACCTTTTTCCATACAAAACAAGCGATTGAATAGCAGCTTTTGGAACGTTCGCCCAACTCGGCAGCACGACCGCTGATTACTGGGCCTTGCAAAGGATGAATCAATGCTTCGAGAAGCAAACAAATTTACTAGGTAAGAAAGTTGCATCAATTTTTATTTTTTCCAATTTCAATTTTTTATTTTTTATAATTTTTTGTATTTCACATGGCACGCTTTGATTTAGAAGAAAAAATTCAGAACAGTTGTTGACACTTTCGATACCAGAAGCAACAACAAAATACACGCAAATGTTGTTTTTGCTCTACTGATACTACCTGTTTAATGTGCCTTGGTTCATAGTTTTGAACAATGTTTCGCCATAGAAAAAAAAAATTAATTTACATCTAATTTTTTTAATACACCTACGGCACTGACTGATGCTTTGTATTTTGACGTTTTTGAATGCTCCCATTATTTTGATGTTTTTTTTTTAAAGAAGATCCTAATCTGACTGAGGAGATACATTTTAGAAAAAAAGGAGATTTATTTCGGTGAACTCTAGGTGTGGATTAAAATAAGTTGGCGGCACTGGTTCTACTTTGAAATCTTTTCATTGTAAAAGTCAGTCATTAACGAAATTTATTCTTCATTTAATTTTCGCTATATCCCCAGGGGATTGTCAGAATAGATGGTTCTTAATAAAATTCTATTTTGAAGTCTTACGTAGAACTTTCAAACTTCTAGCTGCCATTTCTTCAAAGGAAAAAAGAACCGGTCTTCTGGGAGTTACTGGTTTAAATTTTATTTTAGGTCCAAGAAGAAAACCTTTGAGTTAGATTTATTTGAGTTTAATTTTTGGAGAAAAAGGGTCCAAATTTGAACCCACTTTAAAAAAAGTGATGAGACTGAGCAAAATTCTAGTAGGTAGTTGGAAATACAAGTATTTTTGGAGTACTTCTATATGTACAATTACTTCGAAGTACTTGTTAAATTACTTATTATATGATAAGTTGAAGTACTATCTGTTTACATTTAAGTATACAGGTTCTTGTTTTTATATAAGATATTTTCCAGGGGGTCAGATTTTAAAGTTGATAACTCCATTGTTGGTTGTCCAGGTTTTAAAACATACATATTTTAATAAAAAATGCAAAAACCTGTTTTCTTGAAAATAAAGTTTGTAAACTATTTGTAAACTAGTGTAATCTACTAGTTCAGTCCACGATTAACTTCTTGTCTATTTAGGTTTTGATTAAGATTTTATATTTAGCAGATTATAGATATACATTCATACATAAATACATACCAGGGTACGAACTTTTTTTACTCTTGGTTCTACACATTGTGCAAGTTTAGCAATTTTTGCAGAAAGTAACAGAAACAACAAAAACAACAACTTATGTTTATTTTTTTAGACGTTTTTAATAAAAGTTTGTCAGCGCTTATAAATGTACATATATTAAAATCCCTACCCCACCATTTATGAATAAAAATCACATCCTTATGTAAATAAATACAGCTTAGTTATTAATTAAATTATAAAGACTCGATAATATTTTTGCATATAATAATATTTCTCGATAGTATTTAAAAATATAAAATATTTGCCAATACTAAAACAACAAGAGTAATTGATTTCAAAAATGCAAGAAACTGTAAAATAAGCTTTAAGTACAGACTACAGGCAGGGGCGCAGAAAAGGTAATAAAAAGTATTAAATTTTTTTATTTGATATATTGAGATAAAGCTGCACAACATTTTATTTTTTATTTAAGAAACATGATTCGGAGGTATGTAAGTAGTACTTGGTGAAGTTGTAACAATTATTTGAAATAAGTAACAGCCACGTTTAAGTACCTAAGGCTTATTACGCACCGTCCTAAGCAAAATATTTACCTGTTTTATAAAAATTAAGTTTTGATATTTAAGAAAACCCTTCCGTGTGCGTTCCTGTGCTCTACACCTGAGATCTTGAGAACATATCGTATCCAATTCATAATATCGGTGGACTGTTACCCAAATTTAAGCTTAGCAGGGTTTTGCCAAAAGTTTTAGCTTAGTAGGGTTTTGACCATCCTGTTAGTGCGGGACAGATGGCCGTTTGGCAATCTGATAAGTTAAGTAGAATGAATTTTTTTTAATCTGGTTTTATGGTTCCGCTTGGCGTAGGTTAAGATTGCTAATGATTCAACCAAGCATTGTATGTATCTGGGACAAAAAAAAGCAAATGGCTTTGCTGATTGCGCCCATCAGAGAGGAATTTTGTGAATAATTTTTGCGTGACGTCACACTGGTGCAGCTGCGAGAGAGAAATGCTAAAATGCCAAGAATGATAGAATACAAGATTGCGCCAATCGAGCTGAGAGCAACCTGCCGTGACGTCAAAATATACCAGAATGAGAGAGCAAGACGAACTCGACAAGAAAAAGAAGAAGCATCGAACAAAAGGCAGTATTGCCAAGTTTTGAATTTGAAAAAGCACCAAATTTTTATTGGTGTATTTTATGGACTTTATATGAATACATAATTTTATTGTAAGGATGCCGATTCAAATTAATAAAAATCAATGTTTCTTACACAACGGTCCATTTCTTCTGGCGTGATTGAAGGTGCTGCACACATTTCGATGTCGCTTATGATTGTCACTGTGCCATGATTTTGTTTAAATTTTTGTAAAATTGCTTAGCACACTTACGATTGCTATAAATTTTGCTTCCATTTTTTTAAGATTTTCTAATTTGAAGTCTTCAAACTAAAAACAAAAGCACCAAAAACGCAACAAGCACAAAACTCAAAAATTTTCGCGATTTGAATACCCACTAAATTTAGTGAGAAAAGCATAAAGTTGGCAACCGTGAATATAAACAAAAGTATATTATGACGTCAGCGATAGGGTGGATGCTGTCAAATCGACGAAGAGAGGGTTAGCGGTCTGCGAATGGCGCGACCTTTATTTTCTGGATCGTGCTAAAACGCGAACAAGAATTAAAGAAGAAATTTTGCATGAAAAACGTAAACAAGTTCGACAAGTGTGACGTCATACAAAGAGCGATTCTGTCAAATTAACTGAGAGCGGAATATCGGTACCGAGATGGCCGCCACCTTTGTTCTCTACATCGTGTATTGTAGCCACTCGCAATGAGACTTCAAGCATTTGATCGCAAATAGAAAGTTGCAACTGGACGATGAAGCTGCAAAAGCTATATGCCAATTAAAAAATCAGCTTGAACTTGAAGAAATCCGAACAGGTTGGCGTTCATTAGGGCAAATTTGGGCTGTTTGATAGTAGGCATTACAAAGCTTTAAAAAAGGATTGATTTTGAAAGAAAGGTTAGAAATTTGAAAGGAGATATATATTTACTATATTTAAAAACATGACAGCTGATATTGAAGATATATTATTTACTCCCCAACAAATATATTATTTTGTCCAACTACATCTACAGATGTGGCAAGGAATTTTTCAATAAACTTATTTAAATGACCAGAGAAGGTATTTTTTATTGAAAATTTAAAAAAGTATGTAATATGCAATATGTTATTACTGAATAAAAATATTGAAAGATTGAACTAAATTTTAATTGATTTAGCACATTTAGAGCTTTTTAAAGAGCTAAAAATTATTTTTTATGCATATTTTTGCCTGCCCTGGTGACAAGGTACTTAAGCGTGGGTTCTTAAAATAAACTTAATACACAAGCTAGCTTAAGTATTGAAGGAAACTACAAAAATAATTTAAAGTTTTTAGAAAATACTGCAAAAGTTTAAAATTATGAAGAACATTTATTTCTACGGTCCTTAATATCGTACCGACCAATAGTCAAGTGCTTAAACGAAAGAAGTATTTGTTTTTGGACCACCCAGCGATTGAAAAAAATTGCGTAACAATTAAATACACATACAACTTATAGAATATTTTGTTTCAATAAATTTAACTTTTCGTTGCAATTTCCGCTTTCTGATCTTTACTTTACTCAGCCACGTTTATTTCATCTTTATTGTTTGCGTTAAATGCCACAGGCATAAAGAGTTTTATGAGAATGCGTAAAAACTAATTAGTGGTCTGACAAACATAGATAGATATACTTAGCAGAATTTATAGAAGCAATCATTTGGATATGCAATTGAAATACATTTATACTTGTGAATGCATTATAACATACTTAATCGAACATAATCTCGAAACCGATGGTGTGATATTTTTTTTAATGAATTGTGACAACATGAAAAATTATAACTAACAAAAATAAAAAACGTAATAATTTGTATAAACAACTGCACTTTCTACTCGTAATCGTATAAATATGTATATGGTCACTTTAGCCGGTGTCTGTCAGAGTCAAACGTTTTTTCTTGAATAAAAATTATAAACACATAAAATCAAAACTAACAATTTATGCAATTTAAGTGTCTTTTCTACTACTACTAAGCATATTTTATTTTCCAGCTATTTTCTGTTCAACTTATAAGTTTATTTATATATGATGTAAACATTTCAAATAACTATTTATCAATTTGCATTTTTTTTAATAAATCGGCATTAATAAATCAAAAGAAAAAATTAGAAAAAATTACCTACTTAGCAAGACAGCGAAAAAATTGATAGTGATAGAGACATACAACTCTGAATCAGTGGCTAATTTGAAACAAAAATAACTAAATATATTTATTTTTACTAAATTTCCAAATTACATATTTTTTGATTTTTTACTGAATTTATTTTCTCAAAATTATGTACATTTCCATTAGTTTTATGAATCGAAATTTCAAACTTAAGTTTAGTTTATTTTTTCTGTAATGGTCTGCTGTGGTAAATGTGAAGTCTTTATGTTATATTTGTTGCTATAGATGCTCGCCCTGCTTCCCCTACACTGTTAGACAACACGGGCCTCCCTGCCCCCGATCACCAAACGCAGGTAAATACTCTTTCTATTTTTTAACGAAAAAACGCATTCTTCTCTACGTTCGTTCGTTCTGTTTCGTTTTCTTGTCTTATTTATTAAGCAAAGAACATATATATAAATACTTATATAGAAACATAACCAAAAGAAATATATATATATATATATATGTATATGTATATATATACATTACTTTGCCAGTACTCTATCACCATTCCCTTCTCTTTACTCCACCAAACCAATTTCTGCTATCTCTTTTAACTATAAATATTTTATTTGAAGTAATTTATTTGGATTATTTTTCTACTTTAAGTTCATTTGATTTAGTTTGAGTTGGTGTTTTGAAAAAAAAAATTGCCAATCTTTTATTACAGCAATGTTCTCTAGAACTAGAAAAAAGTTTCCAATTGCAAAATTTGATAAGAAAATATTTTTTCAATGTCGAGCTATCAAGCTATTCAATCGATAATACGTTTTTTAGTTGATTTTGTCACCTAATATCGAGTGAGCGAAATAAGTCCTTATCTTAAATTTTGTACGAGTTTGAAAGTTTAAACAAAAGCCGCTGAAATATGATTAAATATTTTGTATTAGCAAAAAATAAATATTCATGAATTTTTAGTAGTTGATAAGAAATATAACCTAATCAGACAATTATATCTTATTGTTAATTTTCCTAAAACAAATTTATTAAACAAAAAAGTGAATTGCAAACAGTTTTTTAACGCCTAATGGACTGTGAAAGCAATGTACATATGTCTAAATCTTAGTACCTTACTTTGTACATAAAAAATTATTTAGAATTTTAGTACAGAAATCAAGTTCCTTAAAATCTTAGAAATATATTTTAGAACTTCAGGATTTTAGCACCAAAATTAAATGCTATATGACTAGGTATACATATATTAATACAGTACTTAGTAGTAACTTTGGCGATCTTAAAATATTGGAGTATAGAACTCAAACAAGTTTTGCGGTACATTTTAGTACCTACTAAATTTTAGTACATATTTTTTTGTACGGAATGTTTCTACCAGAAACGTTTAGTACTAAATCTGGGTATTTAAAATTTTACGTCTTTGTACTAATAAATAATTCTAAATGTTGACATAAAGTATTTTAAAACTTTAGTAGTTTTTAGTTTTGATATAAAATTTTGAATAGTTAAAAATACTAAACTCTATTTCACTAAAAATTTGTTTAAGCTACCTTTTAGTATTACATATTAAAATTTAAAAACTTGAGTACCTTAAAATTTAGTACAAAAACGGTAATTTAAAATTTGAAAATGTTAGTATAAAAATTATACTAAATGTTAACAAAGCGGTATGCAATGGACGGCTCTAAACTTTCCTCTGCACGAAAAGTTTTAGGATGTTATCCGCGAGTATTTATTTTTTGGCAACTACTAAACTATAGTTTCGTCCGGAACAGCTTTAAAATAAATCAAAATTAGTCTAATATTTGGCAATTTTTTAAAGCTCGCGTTTTTAAAACAGTCGCCATGAATTTATTTCCAAACTAATTTTCCAATTTAAAAATAATTTTTTTAATTTCTTTTATTTAATTCTTTTTAATTTCTTTATGGCATATTGTCGCTCATCAAGCTACAGTTTCACAATTTCTCAACTCAATTTACAGCACAATAATACGAAATTGACTTAATAGTCAAATAGTCAAATTAGCGAACAAATCAAATAATTAAATCATCATACAAAAATTGGACAAAGAAAACTTTGATATAAAATAAACAACTCGATTAATCAATCAAGCATCTACTATATACAGAGATATTTATGAAAATATAAAAACGTATCAATCAATCAATACCGTCATATTGTCAGTATACTTATATATACTTATATATTCAGCAAACAATAAACTTAAATATCAAAAAAACAACTTTATGTATAGCTAGCAACATTTTGAACAAAACTCTTGTAGTTACCATTACCAAATATATTCGTAACATATTTTCTACCTTAGTACTCGTATTAGTTGAAGAAATAACAACAAAATAAAACAAAATAAACTAAATATATACTGTATCCAACGCCAATGCACTTTAGTACTCTTTTACATTTTTGTGCATTTAAAAAAAGTGTTTGTTAGATTCGTTTCCATTTAAGTTCACAGTTTTGTTTTATAATTTTCCATTTTATTTACTTACATATTTCTGCCACTAAAAATATTTCTCTTCCCATTTTTTGCTTTACAAAGAAAGAAGTAACTAAATCTATAAGTTCTCTTAGCTTTTTAAAAATCACTGTTCACAATGCATAAATGTTTCGTATCCTGTGCCGTTAAGAAGTTTGTAGCTTCATCAACGTAGCCCTTAACTCTAAAGATCTGCTTCAGGTGATCTATTTACACCAGACGAAAGAATAAGATCTCACGATTAATACTAACTAAAATACTGAAATGTATTTAAAAAAAAAACTCCGGCTTCATTAAATATTTAAAAATGTATGCAATTCTTTATGCATTCATCCAATAAGATTTCGATTGACTGGATCCTAGGTTAGGTTCAAGTAGCTTCCTGCAGCCAGGAAGGAGATACCTTTACTAAGACCTTTGTGATCGTATTTGATTTCCTTTCGCTAACATGAAAATATAATTATGCAGTATTTTAGTCAAGTAAAGAGCCAGCATTCGTGGAAGCCTATTTTAATGTTTTAGAGATAAACGCACAGCTGACAACAAAGTCATTACCAGCGCCACTTATACAATATTTTATTGCCAATTTTTCCATATTGAACTACGCTAAGATTAGTTTTGCTGTTAAACGCGGCCAGCAATAGAAAAATATCAGGTTTTTAACAAGCCAACAAATGCCCACCTTGCCCCAATTTCAGTCAACACATCCGCCTGGTCGTTCCTTGCTCACCTTTGGTGTCCTCACCTGTTGACAGAAGGCCGGCCCGAAAAATTTTTACTTGTATTCTCTTTTTAAAGTTGACATGAAGGCAGTCAGTGCCGTTTCTCACGTTTCGCTCGCTGGTTAACCGGCCGTCGATCGCAAAGGTAAAAAGTAGGCATCTAATAACACCTTTCACACGATCTGCTGCCAGGTTATAGCCGAGCTCACTTTGCTGGACAGGCTAACGAGTACCCGGTTTAACTGCAGATTTACAATGTTTTAAATGAAACTATTCACAATTGTTGTTTATCATCAAAGAAATATGAGATAATTAAAAAGAAAATTAAGATAATGGTATTCAGACGCAATATTTATGCATTTCCATGAACAACATAGACATTTCACACTCGTATCCAATGACAATAAAGACGCTTCACAATGCCATTCATATCATTCATTTATTAATCTTGCAGTTTTCGGTTCCATTCATCATGCCTTTTGCCGTTTTTCCGATATTTAATTTTACATGACACAAAATAAGGTTTAGGAATCTTTAATTATTAAGTAATTAGAGAGGTACAATCACCTTTACTAGCATAAATAAACGTTGAATCAAATATTTACAGTATTTTATTGTCTACAAAATATGTTGTCTTCTCATTGTCCTGTTCATAGTGTTTGTTCTAGCGATGAGGAGGTAACTTTTTTCGGTTGAAAAGAAAACGTCATTAGTTGCAGCCGTTTTTGGCGTGCTTTTGTGTACATAGCTTAAAGTGTAAAGTGTGATATTTTAAATCCAATGGCCAAATAACTTCTTTTCTGTATAAATACATACGATAACAGTCAGTTTCGGATCACTTCAGCGGGTCGCTTTATAATCATAAGGACCCACTCGCCACAGTTTTATATGTACACATACGCTCACGACAAAAAAAAAAACTGGCACAAAGATTTTTTCCAAATTTTTTGTTATAATTTTATTGTTCTTTCCGCTAATTTCTTATAAAAACATGGTTCATAACACAACAAAAATACATAAACATATAATTTCTAAACTTTTTGTCAAACTCAAGAAAATTCCATAAATGAAAAGGCATTTTTTTAGCCCATTCAGTTATAGTAGAATAAAATTGAAGTTTTAAGTTGCAAAAAAATCGCGTTGATTTTTTGAGAAGAAAATGGGTTGAAAACAATTCTAAAAATCCGACTAAAGAATGGAAAATTTATTTAACTTTTCTGAGTTTTCCACAAAGTTTAGAAATTATATTTTTATGTTTTTTGTTGTATGCAGTATGAATCCATGGTGAAATTATACCAGGTATAGTAATTAGAGAGAGAAGAAAGATTTGACACTCGAGATTGGCAAAATACGTGATTTTCTACGATTTCCAAATTCTGGATGATGACATTCCTTCTACCTGGAAAAGGGCAAAAACCCGTGCAACTTTTGACAAATTTAAATATGCAACAAATGAATCTGCAGAAGGAGTTTTTGAAAAAATTAATACGGAAATACAGATTTATTTGAAAAAATCGGAAAACAAAAGTTGTGACGATGTTTTAAAATTGTGGGAGAAAGCTAAAAATTTACCACTTCTTAGAAGTCTTTCAAGGCAAATTTTAAACATACCAGCTAGCTCAGCAACTAGTGAAAGAGTTTCTTCTGTGTTACGCAGAATTCTGGAAGAAAGACGTACACGACTGCTTGGTGAAAACCTCGACAAAATATTATTTTAAACCAAAAATATGAGCTAATGTCATTTCAAAATTACACACGTTGAATGAATATTGATACCAATTCTTTTTTACACTCGTATTAGATACATATGTAAGTATATCTGAAATTTGTTAAAATAATAATAGTGCCTTCAGCCCTTGCTAGGCGTTTGGCCAAACTTTTGTAATAATACTTGTGCGACAAAAGCCTATTTATATGAAATGCTATTTATATAAAAAATAAAAATGTCCGTGAGAAACATGCGTGAGCGCGCGTGACAGAAAAAATAGGCGTCGTCGGCGTGCATGAACGTGATTGAAAAAAATATAGCAAAGCGATAAACGTGAGCGTGCGTGAACGAGAGCCAAAATTACTCACGCGCCAATCTCTATTTGACACTATCTTATTTGAAAATTTCTATAAGATAGCTGAATCTCA